AAACATCTAAAATCTGACTCCATTTGATTCCTTTTTACTTTAGTTATTAGAACAATTTGACCTTATTGATACTTATTTCCACAATAGAACTATTTTGATTATTCACTAGTCTAACTATTATTACTATTGTTTATTCTGACACCTCTTCCTAGCGACCTTTCAACCTATAGCTCCTCGAATCCAATGACATTATAGCTCGAGACTATTTCATTCTATTCTATTATTGTATGATCTATTATCTTAAAGAGTAGATCTGTTTGATGTTATAAGCGCTATTATTTCTCCTTTTGAATTTGCACAACACTAAATTTAGAATGACCCCCTATGGGACAAATATAGAATTTTATTCCATTTTGGCAACTCCGAAAATTACTTAATAATTTTCCCATTTTGCTTTTTTAGGCTGCCCTTTCTATTATTTATTTGTTCTTGTAAATATATGTTTTACACTTCTTTCTAATGATTTAGAAGGTTAAGGACCATGACCACCTATGACAATAACATTACTATACTCCCTCTCTTTGGTCATGGGCCAAGTGTAAAACATGCATCTGTATGTGTGTAGATTACTGTTCCAATCATCTTCAGTTGTTCCTCCCGGATCGTCCTCAATTCATATTGTGGGCTTTGGTGCCAAAGTAGAGGCTCATTTCCTTAATTCATACTACTGTCATCCCTGAAGCAGGTGCAGTTTATCTTTCATCTGAAAAACAAACATTAGAACACAAGAAACGCCCACTTCTCTCTCTTCGCATGGTGCAGCCTGTCAATCAATCCAATTAGGCAAAACATAACTGCATTGACAGACGGTGTGTGACATCAGGGCAGAGGCTGTAGCCGAATACAGACTTAACAATATGTATGTTTCTAATTTTATACTCCCCTAAATGTGAATTACAAACCAAAGTTGTCCTTCAACCAACGACAGCTCACTGCGGTTGGACCGAATCACTGTCAGGACAAACAGCAGAGGACCCAGTACCTTCAGCAAGGTATTCATCTCAGAGTACTTTCTCAGAGTACTTTTCTCAGAGTACTCATCCCAGAGTACTCTCACTTTTACACCTGTTCAATAAAGCTTGTTATCTTTGAATCTCTAGTACTTACACCGTATGCTGTTGACAAAACATAATTATTCCATGATCACATTAAAACATTACATAAAACTTTTGTTATTCCATGATTCCGTTCAGCACTCCTCGTTCACTCCTCATTTCACTCCACACTCGCATCACTCACTCAGGCCGACTCCCCACGTTAGTATTTTGGTCCAGAGTTTGTTAAGGTCAACGTAGTGTACTTGACATGACGCACAAACATATAACATACACAAACATATAACATACACAAACATATAACACACACAAACATATAACACAGAAGGCCTGTACTTTTAACTTTGTTATATTTTTCCATGTCCAATTACAATTGTCTCATGAGCTATTTTATAGTTGCAACTTTCAGAGCCTGCAAAATATGCAGAGCTTTTAATAGATTTTTCCTACAAGGATCCATTTCAAACTTTAGTGTTTAAACCACGTGGTCTGTACTCGGGCTTGTCACAGACTGTGTCCCCTATATCTTTAATGAGCTCTTGTTACTTAAAAAAAAAACTCATGCACGTGCAATAAATGTTTTTCCCTTTTTTTTTTAAAGCCAGTTCGGATTCCTTAAAAATGTAAATTAGTTTCAAACTTTAATACTTCACCTTTGTTTCACGTTCATGTGGAGAAAAGACCATTGTTTTATGTGTGTGTACTTGCACCAATCATGTCTCAGATAAACTGCCAACAGTTATCAAAGACATAATTGTCCTAATTGTTTCTAATTTAGCTATTTGGAAGAGAAACATGTCATAAAAGATTTCAAAAAATGTCCCTACATCTTTGTTTTCAACCAATGAACAGTGTTGCGTCTATGTGTTATCAGAAATGATCCAATATCACCTTTAGCCAAAATTCAGAAATGCTTTAAATCATTTTTCAAACTTTAATTTGTCTGAACAAACCATTTTGTACTAAATGCAGCGTCCATTAAAAGCTGCAGTTCTCTTTCTAGCACCAGTTTCAACTGTGCATGTGATTGTTCTTAAATGAGAAACGAGCCACGGTTCAGAGGTTGAAAACACTGCTTTAAATATCCGTATTACCAAGATCATGCAGTCAAAATCAATAATTCTAAACTTCTCCGCGTCTATAACTTTAAATAATAATACTAGTTTCAATAATAGAGCTCCTCTACTTTAAATATACTGCTGTTCTAATCTCCTTGTGTCTCATGCTAAAGCAAGAGTCTAATTAATTTTAACGATTGTCCTGTATTCTTTCATGCAGCTAAATGTGGTGTTATGAACGAATGACCTAGCTAAATGTGTAAATATGACTTAATATGTCTCTGTGCGTTTGTTGCCTGTCTGTATATTTACCTTCTGTGTGTCTCATTTAGGCCAGCCACGTCTTCCTCAAATGTCCGTTAATGTCTTTCTTTTACTCATGGCGTCTTTCAATGTCTTTTGTCTCATAGTGTCCAATGTCTTTGTCTCAATGTCTTTTTCTTCTTCTTTAAACAATCACTTTCTTTCTTCTTCTTTCAATCACTTTCTCTCTTCTTCTTTCAATCACTTTCTCATGTCTTTCTTTGTCTCAGTGTGTGTCCTTCTTCTTCTTGTTAGGTTTACACAACGTTCTTCTCCGTGCACATAACTCCACTCGGTTTGTGCAAAAGTCTGGTTTTTCTCCATGAAATGGAGGCCGGAGAGGTCTTCTTCGAGAGTTCCTGTTAGCTGCTGCAGCCGATGCTGCTGTCTTTGGTGCCCCCTGTGGGTCTGGGGGAGACGCTGATGGTCCGTGCTGATGGCGCTCGATTGTGGTTTGTGGCAGAGACGATTTTTGGCCAAATGAAACAGACAGAAGTTTTCTCGGAAAAAACAGACAAACAAGAAGCACAAACAAGTGTGTTAATTACCATACGAAACCAATGATTAATTACAATTCAAAATAAACCTATGAAATAATTAATATTAACATTTTAGACATTAAATTCTGAAAACCAAATCTGCATTCAACTGCTATCCTAAGCCCTATTTTTCCAAAAGTATAATGTTCTCTAAGATCATTCTAACTTTTATATCACCAAAATGTAGGGAAAAAAACTTGTCTAGACGCCTTGGAGATAAAAAATAAAAAATAAAATAATGCCTCTTTATAATCTAACTCAAAGTTCTGTGATCCTATGACTCCATGTCAGTAACATTATCGTGTGTATAAATGTAATTTTCTACAAATCAAAAAATGTCTTTGGTAATAGTTCTGTCTTCACGAGAGAGAGAGAGAGAGAGAGAGAGAGAGAGAGAGAGAAAGAGAGAGAAAGAGAGAGAGAGAGAGAGAGAGAGAGACAGAGAGACAGAGAGAGGGAGGGGAGGGGCTGAGTGGCTTCTCGAACAAAGGAACACATGGATGATTGAAATACACCCCCTTTTGCCACATTTTCCTAGTTTTTATCGTGATATGGTTTTAATCAGTGGTAAAAGTTTTTCTCACGTCAAACGACACTTTACATTTTATCCTTAAATACGTCAGTAATGGAAAACATTACTATTTGCTTACATGTCTAACAGTCCCAGCAGAATCTCTTTTTTTTTGATTCTCTGTAACTATTAAAGCAGTACTAAGTAACTTGCGCTTAGCGCGCCCTCTAAAGGTCACTTTTGGTTATGTCACTGTCGTAAACACTCCGCACCCTCCGCCGCCTACCCCACCCCACAGCTACATGCGCACCTTTGCTCTCCCAAGACATACAAGGATAACATCGTTGAACAATACGAACAGATGTCTGATGAGGTGGGTACAATCAAATATGATCTAAAAAAAATAAGTAATGTAAACAAGTGCCAGTTTGTCTTTCCAAAAAATCTATACATTTTCTCCAAAGACGACTCAGCCTCATCATGTGTACTGCCAATGTTTAGTTTTGTAACTGTTTACAATACTACAGGAATTACTTTCGAATTCATCATCATCTGATGAATTCACTGTTCAAGCCATGGGTGCTGGCGGTGCGAGGCCCAAGACCGGAGCAAGAAGTCGAGGTCGCGGGGGGAGGAGAACTACACGACCTAGGGACCTGACTTCTGACGATCAAAGAAGGCTGCAAGCTCTGCAGGACCGACGTATGGCTGAGTTACAGGTATAACTGTGCTACTAATATTGTGGTGCTGTACTGTATTATATTGCCTTTAAATATCTTTTTACCTTATGGTTCACATAATACACATATATTACATGTATGCTTATAACACACTAGTACAACCTATGAATGTGTTGTAGGAAAAAATTAAATCACTGAGGCTGGAGCAGAGAGACATCCTTCTGCAGAGGGTTGTCCAGAGGACACCTGGGATGCTTTTTGACATTCTGTCCCTACTAGAGAATCCACATCCCACCCGTCCCATAACTGCTGTCAACTGGTGCATCTGCGGAAATTGTCGAGAGATGAACACAGATATTGAAAAAAAAATGCTGCAGACAAACCCCAGAACAGTGCATCAGCAACATGGCGCACATGCAGTATTATGTTTTGGATGAGGGAGTTTTGCGTTTGGCCGCAGCTGCTTGGAACGATATCTTTGCCCTTGAAGACAATCCGCAGCCTGGTGAAGAACATCGTTGTATGAGACATACTGCTTATCGACAGTATGTCCTCTGGCAACATGGACGTCTTGGTGAGGGCAACAGAGTGGTCATTCCCAGCTGCTGTGTGTGGAAAATAAGAGACAAATTTCCAGACCCTATGGAACAGTACACTGGATTCAAAGTGCGACGCCTTGTCTAAATTATTACACTTTTACAGTTTTTGATGTTTTGTTCAATAATAATGTACATGTTATAATTCAAGTGACATTTTATTTAGAAAATAAAGCATTTATAAAAAAGCCTTGTTATTATATTTACATTGAGTACTACATTATGCACACGATAAAACGCCATTACACTGTCGCATCATCAAGTCTTCTTGGACCAGTATCCCCCCGGGACACATGTGCCCTCACTAGTTCTAAGGTGGGTGGTGGCTGCACAGGAGCAAGTACACCCAGACGTCTTGGGTCATCAGGGTGCATAGTTACTCGACGGGGAAGGCCTTTACCACTTTGCAGCCTCACAGCAAGGATGGCCTTTTGAATCTCTGGGATGTAGGAGTAGGTTTTCTTTTCTTTCATTTCGTATGCACTCCATGTTGTTGACTTTTTGTTGTAAGACTTTCGGTACCTAGACAATGAAAGTAATATTGAGTGAATAGCAGAAATATGCAAAGACCTTACACAAAATTTCGCAGTAGTAACTTGCATTTTCTGTCCTTCCTTGTTGCGTGCAGGCCTGCGTCGGTTGTGTTTATTGTAGTCTATGGCAGCAAGGCAAGTCCGCGCTCTATAAATGTCCAATGTGTAGGACATGCGCTTTGCCGCATACATCAAGATGTGATTTTGGAAGTTTTCCAAGTCTGATGTAGATCTGTGTGAGAAAAAGAAAATAAAATAAAAAATGCTGAAAAATACAAAACATATTGTGTAGTGCAGGGGTCTCCCACATTTTTCCTTGAATCAGAAAAGACAAATGTTTTGCAGATGTGTATGTTCAGTGTGTTCCTCAATCATTAGGTGCATATAATTTTGCAAAAACCATAACAATGATGACTCATCAAGCTTAGGTAGATTATGTTGAAACCTTTGGGGTGCTCATATGAGACACTGGAGAGCTAGTGCTAACTTATCCCTGTTTTTAAAGAAATAAGTACTTACCTGAAGTTTATAAACTTCTTCACTTGAGTCAGCCATCTCTTCTCAAACACAACTTCTGTCAGTACCCGATGAGCTTCAGAACCTGCCAGCATGTGTTAGTACATAACTTCATAATTTGCCCTGATTGAAAAAGGAAAAAACTACCTGGCTTGATCCAAGGCTTATCCTGACTCTCTTCAGCAAGTGGTTCATGTTCACAACTTCCTGTTGCCCAAGTGTGTTTATTGCAAACATGATGAATTACTCCAGACCACATCATCTGCCCCCCCAAATAAAAAGTGTAAATAGTAATCAAGAAAAAAAGCAAGATACACACCCAAAAAATGTTATAAATGCGAAGTACCTTGAAATGCTCCTCAGTTTGTGCTTGTTTGCTGCAATACCAGAAATGATTAACTATGTCCTTTGTCCACACAATGATTTCCTTCTGCTTCTTCTTAGTTCCCACCTGTTCATGGTACACAAGTAGCATGTTTGAGAGGGAAGTAAGGCGGGATTCTCTAGCAAAGAAAATCCTGCCACAGTCAACCGTGAGAAACACCTTTTTTTGTCACTCATTAACTCTGGGCTGGAGTAAAAAGTAGTAATAGTAGTAGAAGTCGTAGTAGTAGTAGTCAGTCCTGGATCAATCTACCACCTGTTCCCCATCAGAGTGGATCTCTCCTTCTCTTGGCTTCTCCTCAATAAATCTCTTTTTTTTCCTCACTCGGTTTTTTAAGTTTTTCCCACTGAAGGAGGGTCTAAGGGTGAGAAACGCTTTGGGACATTCATCCATTTCCTTAATTTTTGTGAGCACAATCTGATCGGTAAATCTCCTCTGCTGTTTTGACATACATTGATTTGATTTTATCTCTTGCCGGCTCTATCATGAAACGCTCTTGCTTTCTTATAATGATCGAAATGCGGGCGTGACTATCCATTCGAGCGAACCCCACAGGAGCAGACGTGTTCTTGGACTGGGCTGACAGCTCGATTCGCCCTCTGGTTCCAGGTATCACGGCGGCTCAGCGGAGAAGGACGGTCTGTCAGTGGTCACGGCTCGCTAACTCATACTTAGTGGAGTGATCTGTGCATAATGACACGAGTAATTTGAATACATTTTCCCCCCGGTGGAAGAAGGGGGAGGGGGGTCTGATAATGATGCAGTGGAAACAGCTGCATACAGTCTGTTTGGATGATGAAAAGTCTCGGCGTGATGTACAGCCGATAACACTGTCACAGATGTGGGATGAGTACCTAGGCTGAGACCTCATAAGGACCACCAGGTTACAGGACTGAAGTGAGGAAGAGGGAGCAGAGTCCAAAGGCAAAGCTTACAGTGAGATTTGGGGGCACGGTGGCACAGTGGTTAGCGCTTGTGCTACAGAGCAAGAAGTTCCTGAGTTCGATTCCACCTTCATACAAACATACAAACTCCTCTCCCTGTGTGCTCTGGTTTCTCCTACCACAAAAAAAAACATGAACATTAGGTCCAGCTCCCGTATGGTGACCCCACATCCATTACTGTTCGGAGTGGGGAAAAAAAGCCAAAAACCTAGATTATCTCATGATTGTTCTACCACTTAAACTTACGTTACAGTTATTTTGTTGTGTTTGTCTTTTCTGATGTGAGCACACACAGACCTAACCTGCTCTTGCTCACAACTGCTGCCTTAAGATATTTTTCTTGATATATCTCAGCTTTATTGTCACACACGCTCTTTTGACCTTTATATATATATTTATATATATATAGACCATGTCCCCCAAGTCCAGTCCGTACAGAGGAGGTCCCAGAGGAAATCTGGCAGATCCAAAGCCTTCCATTGGGATGGGTGGACAGTGCGTGTAAGCCCGGAGCCGTGATATCTTGTCCGCGATGGAGGAGGAGCGCCATGAAGGCTCTTCGCACCACAGAGATCTGATAAGGCCTGGGAAAATGGGATTTGAGGCACATTTCCAGGGATTTGAGAAGTAGCCGACCGTTGTGATGATGGTTACTATAGAGGGGAGGTTTTTTTTTCATGGCAATTTTAGTGGCTATTTTATGCATACCTTAGGGAAAATAATGTGTAACAATATTATATTCAAATGAATCTTATAGTTCCCTGCTCTCAGACAGTTTGGTTCTATCAGTTTTCACATGCATGTCTTTTTGGCATCAGTCACATATTTAGATCAACTTTTTCAAAAGAGAAGGCCATCCTCACTCAACAGGGAGACGGGGATCTTTCTATATATGAAAAAGATTTTTTTTAAAAGCTTTCAATGAAGCCTGTGCTCTGATGTGTTCACATTCATTTGATTTTGTGGGACAAACCCACCTTTAAACATAATATCATACAATATTTGGTTTCTCATTTCATGTTTTTAGTTTTGAATATTTGGTTTGGCAGAAAATACATGTGAAATGGACACAGAAAATCTCAGAAGGGAAATGTTCCCATTTAGTGGTTGAAATGGGAAATAACCTGCTGTTTATGTATTTATTTTTTTAGTTTATTTTTTGTGTTACATGGTTAACTCAAAAAACATCACTTTGCAGAATATGTGTCCTTTAATTGCAACGTTCTCATGGCTTCACCAACCAGTTATCTGATAACTTTGTTATTCTGACTATAATACATTGTTCCTTTGTTTGCATTGACCTTGGAGGCATTCAGTTGTGAGGTCTCAAAAAGGTGGTACATTTCCTGTGACCAAAATGGAAATGAGGAGTGCTCTTGTCTCATGATTAAAAAGGTCAAATTTAAAAAACAGAGTCGGAAAGATAAGGAAGAATATGTTTTATGAACTTGGATGAAGCCAATCATGTCATCAAAGTGCCTGAAAAAAAGAAGTTGCTCCAGTTACAAACTTCCTGAGACAATGACGTCAGAGCTGTTTTTGGAGCTGTTAATTTACAGTTCTCCAAATCATTGAAGGTATGGACACTGACTGTGTTGTTCCTTTGTGGTACATTTATTTTGATATTTGATGCAAAATATCCAGAGCCTTCCTTTTATGTGATGTGTGTTTTCCGTACTTAAAGCTGGGGTAACTTTAGAATAACAAAAAAATATTTTGTAATATAATCCAACTAATTCCGCACTCTCAAAACAAAAATTGATAGTTTTCAGATGCTTTTTTTTTTTAGTAGATAATCCCCTCACTCGGCCAATCAGCTATCAGCCCAAAGCACTGAATAGTGACAGGTATGCAAAAGATGACATGTGACACGTTTGCTAATAAGATGAACACAACAAGCAAAACCAGACACATCAGAAACAGCACAATGTGAAATAAAAAAATGAAAATGATAAAAATTCTACTTTTTCTACTCGACATTTATGTATTTTTCTCTTTAATGGCATTTATTTCTCTATGGTTGGGGGAATGTGAAACATGGAGCTCAGCCTTCACAGAAAAGGGAATGGAGGGCAGACAGGGGATGAAGGCTTGGAAAGATTTTTTAACGATCGATATGTGAAACACAGAAGCAGGTCGACCATGAAATGTGGCATCAGAGACGTGAATGTGTCAGACTCAGGAGTTTACTGATTCGTATCCTGCATTTGTCTCCAGTAGTTTAGACTACTGTAATGCCTTGCTCACTGGTCTCTCCAGATGAACTAAAAACAGTACATTCAAAAGGCCTTTTGCATCCTGTTTAATATATTTTTGTTGAAATAATTATAAAAATTCTATAGTAAGATACACATGGGGGAAATTTTATTCTTGGAAAACATGACATCTGTGCGAGTAGTATTTATGTAGACTCCAGTTACTTTGATCTGGTTTTGGGCAGGTTTTGAACAGCTGTATGATCACCAGGAGACCAAGGCAAGTATACACTGCCATTTAAATTCACTTATTGGATGTGTATTCACAAGAAATGCACTAAAAAACACCATTCCTCTCATAGCAGAACATATAGGAATAATCTTTTTTGAGTACCGTTATGGACCTTAATCTTTATTTATATTGCGACTTTTACAGACCAGAGTCACAAAGCACTTTACAATTGTTTTGGGCATTTTTCCTCTCACTCCAGAGAATGATGGGAGGTGGAATCGAACCAGGACCTTCTTGCTGTAAGGCACAAGTGCTACCCAGTGCATCACATGCCAGCTGGGACCCATACCCTTGTCAGAGCTTATATACACCCAGCATTAGAGCTGTAGGCACTCGGTAAGAAAGCCCTGCATGGATTGGACTTCAGGCAACAGAAAAACAGGAGCAAAAAGTTATCTTGAAAATGGTGCAAATAGTTGATGGACTTTCATTTTTGCTGTAATACTTAAGTCCATGTTCAGGAATAATGCACCAAACTAAGAGCGATAAGTTTAAAAATAAATTGCCAGTATAATGCTGGTTCTTGCCAGTCAGCACCACGGACAGCGACTCTGGAACGTCCTCGCCAAACTGGAGTCTAAGCCGTGAGAGCATAATCCTCTGAAGCACATTACGTTGAGCGGGTCTGCAGCGCGGCCTGGTGTAATGTCATTTATCTGTCAAACACCTTCTACGAATGCTGCTGCAAGTAAAGCTCCAGAAATGTTTACTTTTGACGGCAGCAGTTTGTGCCTGAGCTGAAAGAGGCGATGAATAAATATGAGCTTTCTATAACGGGACATGATCTATGCTAAAATGCTTGTAACGTATGCTTTTTGCTGTTTGTGCCACATTGCTGAAAGGAAGGCTACAATCAACGTAAAAATAACAATTCTATGCTAAAAAATAAAGTTTTTGATGTTGTATTTATCTGTTAACATTGTCTCCCTGTCAATAAACTTGTTTGTGTTTGTTTTTATAGCTTTATTGACACTGTACTATCGCCCTTCCCACCATCTAAACGCGCAGTGCTCAATTTCCCAATAAGAACGATGTTACTAAATACTTCTGCCTTCACTTCACTCTAAAAAGATAAACTATCTAATTGGTTGGAGTGATCGTGGTTGGGATTGACCAATATTGGTCAGAAAGACCAATTTGGATAGTGTGGTACCAAGATTAGAAACTGTGTTTTATTCACCTTGACAAGTTGAGGTTGCATTTTTTCAGGAAGCAAGTTTTTCCTCAGATCTGTAACATAGATCTGTGGCATACCTTAGACCAAGACTAGAATAATGTTCAGAGCTAACCCGTGGCAAAGGAAAGACTTTAACTGTTCAGAGAGCATTATAGAGATCTTGGACTAAAAACCCTAAAAACTAGACAGAACTTTGCACTTGCATGCTTAGGTTTGTAAACTTTTTCATGGAGCCTCACCTGCAGCATTGGAACCATACTGATCCACACAAACTCACTCTTGTGTGTCTCTCATGAGACATTAGTGAGTCTTTAATGCAATTATAGATGGACACAACTACCAAGTAGAATGGTTCAAGTTTTTTGGTTGTTCTAACCAATGTTTTTAGAGTGTATTTTACGTTTTGGAGGTGTCTGGATTAATATGTTTCTTGTCCCATTATCGAGCATTACTGAATATTTCCATAAGTCTACCCATAACTCAAAAGGTTATGGGCAAACCCTGGTGATGGCATTACCCCCTGACAGGTAATAAAGAGCCTGGGGTGTCATGGTTTATGAGTCTAACGCAGACAGACGCAAGTTGTGTCCTCTTTAATCAAAGGGAAGAGGGACCCTATATTGAGAACACTAATCCTCTTCACCTGAAGTATGACACATGAGCTTCAAAAGTCTTACAAACACGTCCGCTCATATCCTTTCTCTTTTTTTCCCTTTTGTTGTGTATGTATGCCTGGGCCCCTCTCTCCTCTCTCCCCTGCACCTGTTCGCTTCAAAGGCTTCCTGTCTGGCTGCGGTTAACCCAGCGGACGCCTCTCGACACGTGGGCGCTGATGTGGCTTATCAGGCCTCCCCAGACGGCCATGGAGGGACCGGAGCAGAGCCGAGGTGAGCCGAGTCTGTGCAGAGATGAAGAGTGGTCCATACACACTCCCAGGTCAAATGAATAATGGAAGTTTGCTAACAGAGCGCGCTGCTGTTTTCATCGCGCACTGAAGATTTATACAGCGGTTTGTGTAGAGAGCACCTTGTACGAGCGCTGTACTGACACTTTGAAAAGGCAGCCGCAGAATGACAAAGAAGGGAACTTTCGGGAAGAGAACTTATACTTGTGCTGGAAAAGTGTTCATTTCAACAGATGGCTTATAGTGTAGTGAAAAGGGGGCGGTAAAAGTTAAAGCTGCGGCACCTAACTTTGAAACCTCTAAGACACTAAAAATATATGTCACTAGTTTCTCGCGCTCAAAACAGTTCTTACTAGTTTTCCAGTGCATGTACTGTATGTTGAACCTCATGGTCGTGGGTTCGATCCCCCCCTTTTTCCGAAGACCACGCTTGTAAGTCCTGGGCTCTGATTGGCCAGTTTTTCCCCACCTTCAGCTGATTGACTGCGATGCCTGGGTGCTGATTGGGCAGCACCTGAGGCAGTGCTCCAATCAGCGCGTGTTTGCCTGGAGGACCCGCCCTTAAAAGCTGCAAATCTTCCGCAGAGAAGATAAAAAAAATATGTTTTTTGTCAATTGCTTTCTTGTTTAATAAGATATGTATTTACTCTGTGTGTTTTGTAAATAGTTAATCCTATTTTGTAACCAGTTTTACCTATTTTGTCATGTTAATAAATTATGATTTTAGTTACCATTCTAACATCTTGGTTATTTTGTTACATCCTCACACCTATGCTGAGCTGGGTCGCAATAAACATCTTGACTGATAAAAAATTTTGAAAGGCACATGTTTCCAGTTTCTAGAATAATCCCGCTCTCGACGTTCTGTAATCGTGGCTCGTAAACACGGTGCTTGAGAATAAGTGTGGGCTAATTGACTGTAATGTCATTTTATCTGCGTGGAGAGGTTATTGACAGCCGGGTCCCAGAAGACTGCTCATCCTGCTGCGGAGCCCCAGCCAGGGACCCTCCATTAACATCTCATTACGGACGTGCCTTCACATACTCGCGACATTGGCCTGCGCTCTGGCAAAATATCAGCGGAGCAGCTTTCATTTCCTGCATCCCTCCACACGTTATCCTGCACCGGGGATTTTCTCACAAACATCAGATATGGCCGCCGTTGTCAATGGGAACGCAGTGATATGAACACAGTGTAGGGCAGACCTGTGTTTATTTATCGAGGAAAAACAAAAAGATATGTGTAGGGGAACCAAGACATGACCAGTTTATGGATATGGCAACTGTGAGATGCACAACAGACGCGAGTTTGTCCCAAAAGCTACAATCCGGAGCGTTTACAGCACCTGCTCTTCATGAATACACACTTTCCAAGCCAAACAAACATCAATAAAAGCAGGTGTGGCATGAGCTCTCAGAATGATGTATGCATCTGACCTACACAGCACTAAAAAGATAGACAATGTACACAGCTTAAACATTGACAGTTGTAGTTTTTACAATACTAGCACATGTACAGCCACGATCTAAAATATTGAACTTAATTAAACTCAAAAAAATCATAGGAGCATAGGAGTGTAACAATTCAGTGTAAGTAACATTTTGAGAATAAAGGTTAGAAAACATATGACCTTTTACATGATGAAAGCTGATGACGGCTGCTCCTCTTTTTTTCACTTCAACAAACAGAAACAGATTCACATGAGAAACTAGTGACAGGGACAGTTTTCAGAGAGAGGAACTTGTTTCATCAGTTATACTTCAGACCGTCAGAGTTAATACCAAAATCTGTCTTATTTGCTCCAAGGCGTCTGATTTTTGCTCTTTTCCCATAAAAGTCTGTGCAATTAAATAATTTTATTTTATATTATATTATATTATATAGTGGACATTAAATGCAAACCACTAAAGATCGACAGTCCTACATACTTGGTGGTTTCTCTCTCTTTTAACCAGATCTGGAGTTGTTTTTAGATCCATCCACGCTAATAGGAACTTCTTGCTCAAATAAGTCGCTCCGTCTAAAAGCTCCAGTCTCAGTCCTGTGATAGAATCATTCTACCATTACGACATCACGCTCAGTTATCTGTCTTTTAAAACAGAAGTTTAGGCAATTTCTCAAGTGAAATGTGGTTCTGTGCAACCACATGGCTGTGTTGTGCAGCTGAATTTGTTGAAAAACAAGGCTAATTCTACCCTTCCCCCTTGTAACAGGGAGGCACGAGCGGGCGGCGGTGGGCACACAAACACCAGGGAGGCAGTCTTGAGGGTCCACTTTTCAAATTTATTTTCTCTTTTTTTTTTTTTGCAAAAATGCAAAGTTCACCATAATAAAGTGTAAATGTGTAAATTAAAGTGCATGGGAGGACTCAATCAGTGTAGCTCATCCAGCAGCCCAAACCCAGAGTGAGAGCATGAGACTCTTTAAATACCCTCCCTCTAAATTGGATAAAACCACTCAAGATAAGCAGGTGTCCACATGTCACATTTGCTCTCACAACCTCTACAACCCTCCCATATAAACCCCAACCAAAATATAACCAATGTTATTTTTTCTATACTAGTAAGAAAAAGCCCTGTGTGTCACTCTTTGACTCTTTGAGTGACTGTATATTTTCCACTTTTCTGTCTGAAAAAACTGATCAAAAGATGTGACATTTGAAAAACACATGCAACTGTTTGAGAGAGATTAACTTTGATTAACAAAGATTTGAAAGCATAGTTCAATGTTTAGGTACCGCAGCTTTATTCAGGTCATTCTTACTCATTCTCACAGCGCAGTGGTTTGTATCCATCTTGATCTCAGAGTTTGCAGTCTGCCTCTGACTCTGGTTCTGAGTTTCTGAAGCAGCACATTCTCAGTGATGTGACTTTTTATTAGGCACAGGCCTCTCCACTAGTCTGTTCACTGGTCTGTACTCTGGTCTGTCCACTGGTCTGTCCTCTGGTCTGTACTCTGGTCTGTCCTCTGGTCTGTCCTCTGGTCTGTCCTCTGGTCTGTCCACTGGTCTGTCCACTGGTCTGTCCACTGGTCTGTCCACTGGTCTGTCCTCTGGTCTGTTCACTGGTCTGTCCACTGGTCTGTCCACTGGTCTGTCCACTGGTCTGTCCACTGGTCTGTCCACTGGTCTGTCCACTGGTCTGTACTCTGGTCTGTCCACTGGTCTGTCCACTGGTCTGTCCACTGGTCTGTCCACTAGTCTGTCCACTGGTCTGTACTCTGGTCTGTCCTCTGGTCTGTCCACTGGTCTGTCCTCTGGTATGTCCTCTGGTCTGTCCACTGGTCTGTCCTCTGGTATGTCCACTGGTCTGTCCACTGGTCTGTCCACTGGTCTGTCCACTGGTCTGTCCTCTGGTATGTCCTCTGGTCTGTCCACTGGTCTGTCCATTGTTCCACTCGGGCAGCAGCTCCATCAGGCCTAGTCACAGCTGCTGTCGCACGCCTCACTGAAAGAGAGAAGAAGCCAAAGCTGCCGACCACTTACAAATCACAACTGGATATGACACTGGTCCCATTGAATTCCTCAAACATGATCTCGGAGGACATAAATCTGGATTGCTTGTTTTGATCTACCGTCAATCTCCAAACTTATAACCCAACAACAGTAAATGTAAATGTCCAGCATGTGGCCAAAAGAAGATCATGGTGTCACATAGAAAATATCCCATATAGGCTTTCTAGTAAGGAAGTAAGTAAGTAATCTTTATCTATAATGCACATTTTACAGCCCAAGGTCACCCAAAGCGACTCGTTTTGTTCATGTTTAAAGTGGTATGGGAAACCAGAGCACCTGGAGGAAACCTATGCAGACACAGGGAACATGCAAGACAGGCCTGGCGGTGGAATTGAACCCAGGACCTTCTTGTTATTTTTGTTTGCCTGCAATAAAGTGGTGAATCCTAATACACTATACACTATCAGGGCTTAGTACATAATGTTATAATATTTAAATTAATTTTAGTATAGAGTTATTGTTCACTTGTCTTTTTGAGTTTGCTCCTAATTCCCACTGTTCTGTATCTGGTAATGCAACCCTCTAGGTTTATATCAAATGAATATTGTTATGTAAAATATTTTAAGCTTTTAATCATGTGTCAGCACTGTTCCCTCATCAAAAACAGACCTGGATTTGTTTTTAGATCTATCCATGCGGAACTTCTGGCACGACTCCTGCCCTTCTCTATGAAATGTTGTCATTGAACCAATATGGTTTGATGCTCAGAGCAGTTTTATGCCTTTGAAAGCATAGATAAGATAGATAAGCTTAGGTCATTTCTCAGGTGAAATTACGTTCTTTACCATAAGTGTTGGCAAATGATAAAATTCAATTTTAAAAAAGCATTGTAAATCTAAGACATATATTTTATACTGGCAATACTATTGCACATATCTATTCAAAATATATTCCAAAACATGTAAAAAGTCTCATTATCAGTATCAATAACCAAAATGAATGTATTCTATTTCTTTCAAGATGTGAAATGAGAAATGTGGATCTAAACTATAACTTGAACAATTCTAAATTCAAATTTTTCGTTTTCAAAAACTTCAACAGCTCGATGTCTTGTCTTTGCTAATGCAGCTGCCAACAGCGCGGAGCTTTCTGCTTCACGGTGACAGAAATTCAAGGAAAGAACAACTCATCTCCAGCTTCACAAGAGATAAAAATCTAATTAAAATGTACTTCTGAAAACTCTCTCCACAGTTTTCAGACAGGCATGCTTGACTTTTTACTTTCAAAAGTTAGTTTTATGTCTTTGACCAAAAGCTATGTATGGATTGTCCTTATGTGATGTGAGAATGATGTACTTGTGTAACAATATTCAGAGCAGCAGTTGAAATTTCAGTATTTCATTATATAATTATCACTGTGTCATTGGTTTCCAAGGATACAAAAAAGAAGAACTTCGGTGCAAATGAAAAAAACACACTTTCCTTGCAAAAAATCTATTTTTTTAGTTGGAAAATGTTACGTCTGGTCCTGAGACCTTCATCAGACAAATTTCTAAAGAGCTCCAGGTGGCCCGCCTTGATGGGGTGTGGCTGGTGTCTATGGGTGGCCCTCTTAAGGGGAAAGTACAACAAAAAGCAACCAAAAAACATTTTCAAGGCATAAGACAATAACATGTATATATCATGCATCATAATTATCATAATCTGGACAGTGATATATACAGAAGTGCATATGTTTAAATATATGTCTTTAATAACAGCGTTATGGCTTAATAATGAGATTTGCAAATATGAGATTTTTTTATTTATTTCTATAGACGCTGTTAAACACATATACTAACATGAAAACGATTTGATATAGTTCATGTTGCATGCATTATATGTTGAAATACATAAGTGAATTAATTTTATTCTAAAAACATACTTTCACAGTTCTCCTTTACAGTCCAAAAAACAGGAAAAAGTTTCATTTCAGAGACACTTTCCTCTGTAAAATGGGAATTGTCCAATAGATCCTGCTTCCAGACACCAGCTATAGTCGTTCATAATTACCATGGGAAATATAGACAGACTTTGGAGTTTGATTTGATCTTTCTGCAGAAGTTGTTCCCACTTATACAGTAATTACAGTAAATGAGTAAACAGAGGGCGACACCACTGTTTTAGTAGCAGTGGGACGCACGGTTATAGTCACAGATTGGATTTACTGCATCAATTTGACTGTGCCCCGACATGGATGCTAACAGCAAAGGTAAGCATGCTAACGTGAGATACCTCCTCAGAGTTTATTGTGTTATTTACCAAGACATTCGCTTTTATTGGTGCTTTGCCTGGAAAAATAAAACCGGTTGTGGTTGTTGTTAAATAGTGCTCTGTGTAGGAAATAGGACCTGTCGCTTCTGTTGCAAAATAGTGAGCCGTGTCCAATTGTCGGCTTATATACGGAATTATGGAGGACCAAAACTGTCAAAATTATAAATAAATGAATAAATAAATAAATGTCACATTCTGCCAATAATTATTAAGATAACACAACAAATCATGCGATTTAATAAATACATATTATTATACAACGTTTTTTGGTTTCAAACTAAATAATACATCTTTATTATTTTTCTGTTCGTTCAAAGGTCAAGATTAAAATAAATATATTTTTATAATTTAACTGCCGTTTTGTGCCCAAAGAGATAATAAAATCTCATTTTTTTCTTTCCCCATGTATTTATTTTCTTCATCTTTTTTTTAAAATTGATGTTCTGTTTTATTATTTCACGACACATTCTTTCCTCGTGTCTTGATAATAAAATGCAAATGAAGGGGGCGGGCCACAGACAGCAAGACGAAAGCAATCGCCTCTTGCAGACTGACCAGGCCAAACCGTGCTAAACAGTGCTGCCATTATAGCAGTGCCATCTAGCTGCGTGAAGCTGTTTGTCCCGTGGCTGTCATGGAATTGTCTTTTATAATGCCTGGAAGAGCGTGTTGTGTGTTCGGCTGTGCAAGCCTGCAACAGAACCGTGTGTGAACTTCTTAAACCTTTACAACATACTGACCATACTGACTTCCCCCATACGGATTGCAGAAAGCTCCTGGTCCAGCTCAGGAACAAGATGTGTGTCTGAAGTGGATGAAAAATATAAACCTAGATGGCTTTAAGCCAAACAAGAAAGCAGTGGTAAGTTTAGCTTTGATTATTACATCTGAGAAAACCACTGGTTGCTGTCTATAAATGACATGAGTGTAAAAAGTAACTGCTATATTTTCTAGCTTCGTTAGCCTGTTAGCCTTGTTAGCCTGTTAGCCTCGTTAGCCTGTTAGCCAGATACAAAAGCTCTGACATTGCTCTTGACAGGACCTGTAATGCACTTTCTGTATATGTGCGTTCACTTCATGTTAGTTCTTGTTTACATTGGATTACACGTTTGCTAAAAAAGTAATTTGCAAAGTGGAGCTTGTGAGACTCGTTCTGGAATTTGCCAGATTATTACAAGTTAGCTAACTGTTAATAGTAATGCACAGTAATGCTTTTAGATAAGCATTTACACACATACAATAATAGCACATTCGTTATATGAACGTTATATGAATTTTCAATAATCAATTAATTAATTACGTGGGGGTCACGAGTTGACAGTTCTGGGTTCAAATCCCACATCATCCTTATTAAGTATAATAAAAACCTTAAGATAAAACTGTTAAATGTTAAAACTACATTACTAATGTATTTTTCATCAATTCCAGGTATGTGGGAAACATTTTCCTGATGGGCAACCCACATGAGAAAATTTCCGTCCTGTGTTACTTATGGTTTATGATTGTTGTGTAAGTATGATATTTTTAATATCCTTCATTGTTTTGTTTAACTAATATACAGCTCATTTTTTCTGTTAGGTAACACCTGCTAGACCCCCCCAAAAGAGATGTGTTTAGGCTGTACACCAGAACTCAACTACTGAACGTGAACCTGGAGAAGATGAAGATAATTTGGGAGAAAATCCCTCTACTGACGTGTGATGTTGGAGTCCAGTGGCCAGATCACAACTAGTTTCAGCAGTAATGTTAAGATGAAGGAGCATTTAGATAAGAAAGACTTTGTTTTACACAAGTGTATGTGCTGACACTTTCTGGGAACTTTTGAGAGTCCTGCTGACTTTTTGCCACAATCACTTAATATAAAATTGTAACTGCGTATTTTCTACTGTCTCTGGGGCTACATTGTCACAACTAGACCTCTAATGGCAGCATCATGTAAACATGGCTCTAACACGGTCAACGACTCAACTCATACTGCTCAATTGACGCATATTTATCTTATTTAAGCCCGACATTTAACTGTCATACAGTGTCCTGTCATTACCTGCCTTAGTCAGTTTTGGCCAGTACCTGACATCATCTACTACCAGCAGATTTTACCACTAGGTAAAATCCTCCAGCTCCGGTGGTCCTGACCAAGCCGAGCATCAACATCTCAAGATGGATTCCCGGGCGCTGTTACTACGGCGACCACTGCTCCTGACGTAAGCCTTAGCGGCAACAGGATGGGTCAAAAAATGCAGAGGATGAAGTGCCCTACTGGGATTAATGTGCACCTTTACCTTACCAATGTTCACTTTCCTTTGCCATGGTGATGGTGACGAGAATGAGGATAGACTAATGATAATGATATAATTTATAATTGTCGTTGTTGAAATAATTGTTTTACTGACCAGGCAGCTTAAGTGAATGTATGTGTACTTAGAAGTTCATAAGTCTTACTTCTTAAGATAAGATAGACTCTTCCCACTCTATTTCAGGTCTTTATAGGGATGAAGAAGAAATATATATCTATGTATTTATGTCAAATAACTGAATCCTGTATGAACCTAAAAAAATGAATACAAATTTATATTATCACATCATTCATTGAAATGTCACAATAGCAGGCTCGCAGTTATG